CTCCAGTAAATCAATTTGGCTACATAAATCATAAAGAATATATTTGTAAAACACCATCCAGGAGAAACCATACAGCAACTTGTAAATTCTGCAGGGCTTCACTCTCAGAGACGTGGGGACTATGTTAAACACTTATCGTCACTAATGTTAGCCAACATTAGCAATCTGCCTCTGTAGCAAAACTATTTCCTCTGCCCTCACACAGAGATTTGGTCAATTTTAGCTTTATTAACTTATGTGTACAGAATACTCTACCTTTTGGGGCACTGATTTTGTTTTTTTTCTTGTCTTTGTCTCAACTCGGTCCAGGCTCTAAAAGTCTTGTCTCGGTCTCGACACTGTGGTCTTGGTCTCGGGTTAGGTGGTCTTGACTACAACACTAGCATAGTTGCCCTTGAGGAGCAGGTTTGAGTAACAGATCACACGACTCTGTCACATACAAACATCAGAGACAACTCTTCTCATCACTAAATAAATAAATAAAATAAGATTAAATAAAAAGAAAAGATTGGTTGAATATACCTAACCAAGTTATGTCTTTACATAACTCGTTACATTTACTCATCTTGGTTAAGTGGAACAACTTGGTCAGGTAAAAATTTTCGCGTGTATGATGATCAGAGTTTCAAACTGGCACAAAAGGTGGAGAGAGATGTTCATTTCTTTAAGGAATAGGAAAAAAATGAAACAAAAATAGCACACGCTGGCAATATGTATTTTTTTCTCCATACAAATATATTACATTGATCAATCAGTCTTGATTGACAGTTGCAGATTTAAAGGCAGTCAACCAAATACATACAACCACTTATTTTCTTTTATCTGACCACAGAAAATGAGTCCAGCACCATCAACGTGTCAAATTCATCTTTACACAAACTATATTCTTGGCACCAAATAATGTGACTGTTTTTAGAAACACACTGAACACTTAGCTGTCAATAAATGAGTTGGTTTAAATCAGATCATTTAAATAGTGTCTTTTGCTGATTGCACAAAACGACTCATACCCTGGAATTACGCTCAACATTTCACCGGTGTCTTAAAAAAGTAATTTATTCTTAAAAAAAAAAAGAAGCAAAGATAAGAAAGGTCCACACTACCAGCAGTGAAAGTAAAAGTTTTGGTTGATTGGCGTTTGACTCTAGCAGGAAACACAGAAATACATCAAGTCACAGTAGCATAACTAACACAAACATTAACTGACAATTTTTATATAGATATATTTGTGCAATGCAGCATGGTATATATTAATCTAAATCGTGTAAGGCCTTAATGTGTTTTACATAACAAAAGGCTAAAACAAAAAACAAAACCAAAATATCAGTTATAGTTAGAGATAATACATAGAGTGAGAGAGAGAGCTATTTAACAGATCATGACGTGACAGGGTTAAAAATCTGTACCATATTTTAGAATCTCAGGGGAACAATAACACCTTCATTGATGTGGTTAATACATTAATTATTGGTACCACTTCCTAATAAAGTTTCCTTATAAAGGATGAATTATTGTTTCATTAACAGGTTATTAATGAGTTTGTAAACACTTTATAAAACAATGATGACAATATATCTGCTCTCCGTTTTACTGGTCTGTCTACGTTTCAACCTTCAGCTGTGGTCATGAGGTCTGGATCATGACTGGATCAGATCCAAGGTAGAAGCGAGTGAAATGAGTTTCCTCTGCAGGGAGCTCAGGCTCAGAGTTGTCTGGGTCAGAGCTGCTCCTCAGCATCAGAAGGATTCAGTTGTGGTGGTTCTGGGATCTGATTAAGATGCCTCCTGGACGCCTCCCTTTAGAGATTTTACACTGGGAAGAGACCCCGGTGCAGACCCAGAACTCACTGGAGGGATTATGTATCCCCTCTGGCCTGGGAATGCCTCGGAGGTCCCCCAGGGAGGAGCAGGAGAATGGTGTTGAGAGAGGGAGGTCTCCATAACTCGACCACAGATAAGAGGTAGAAGATGGAGATGAAGATAAAACCGTTATGAAACACTTCATACACTGAAGTGAGATCACTATTTGGCAAGATGAAGTGCTGTACTTGTTATTCATTTGTTTAAAACTTAAATTTTAAATAGAAATTTGTAAATTATCTGCATGTTTTCAGATGTTTTTTTAAATATTTATTAAAGTGATTTAGGCAAAACAGTGAGCTGAGCAGTTAGCAATAACTTACATTTACATGCATGAGGCACTTGATCTGGCCAAACAGTGAGCCAGCTTAAATGCATGAGCAGTGTCTGAGTGGTTTTATTAAAAGGGGCAATATTATGTGTTTCTCAGGCATAAATTTAAATACTATACCATAATAAAGTATCTATATAGCCCCTTTTCCATGGTGTAGTGTTGAACGGTTGGTGTAGGTACGGATCGGTACAAGTAGGACCAGTTGGTTTTCCACTATGTTCCAGTCCGGTTCCAATGGGTGTGTTTTGGGCGGTTGGTGGAGGTGTTTTTTTTAGGTATTTTGAAAAAAGTTAATGAGCAAAATGAGAGATGGAAACACATTTGATGAATAACTTTTGAAATTTTAAAAATTTGCAAAAATTTTGCCAATCAGTGACGAACAGTGTTCTGACGTCGCATTTTGGTGTCAGCTGGGGCTGSTTGSAACCACAATGAAGTAGGTACTAAAAAAAGTGCCGGTTCCATGAATCTGGCCTAATGGAAATGGCTTGGAATCGTACGGAATCGTACCGACACTACACTAAGTGGCACTAGTGGAAAAGGGGCATATGTCACCTTTAGTTGTTATTAAAATGCTGTTTTTATGTTTAAATAGAAAATCTTCTCATCACTTCCTCTTCTAAACGCCTTGAAATTGGCCTCTGTCTCTTTAAGAACCACCTTCCACTTCTGTCTCGCCCATTTCAGTGCAGGGGGTGGGGGGGTGTGCGTGTGCGCTATGATGCAGTTTACTTGGCATCTGAAAATACATTTCCTCAAAGGTATTTTGAATCTGAAAAGAGCTTCACTGAGTGAGAGCTAATGTTGAGAGCAGCAGACAGTTTAAGTTTCACTTTCAGTTTCACTCGTTTGCTTTGTTACTGCCGAGAGCCTGCAGGAGTTATGGGCGGAGTGTGTGGGGTGAGGGGTGTGGTCCGTGATGAGGAAGCTTGGCTTGGAGACACATCCCGGAGGCGGAGATGGTCCCAAAAGGAGGTTCTACAACCCCTGGCAAAAAGTATGGAATCACCAGTCTTGGATGAGCACTCATTCAGACATTTCATTCTGTAAAACAAACTCAGATCAAAAACATGATACAATGATAAGGTCATTCCAAAGTGCAACTTGTTGGCTTTCAGGAACACTCAAAGAAATGAAGAGAAAACATTGTGGAAGTCAGTGAATGTTACTTTTATTGACCAAGCACAGGGGGAAAAAATGGAATCATTCAATTCTGAGGAAAAAAGTATGGAATTGGAGGTAGAAAATAAGGACACACCCAGTTTCCTTTCCCTAAATGGACACCTGCCTCAGATTAGATCTGCTCATTAGTCTGCAGTTAAAAGCACCTGTAGTCATGACACCTTGGAGGGCTGCTGGATGAAGTGGAGTGGCAAGAACCATGGCTCCAACAAGAGAAATGTCTCTTGAAACAAAAGAGGATTGTGAAACTTCTTGAAGAAGGTAACACTTGAAGCATGGTTGCTAAAGATGTGGGCTGTTCACAGTCAGCTGTATCCAAGATATGGACCAAATACAAACAGCATAAATGGTTGTTAAAGCCAAGCGTACTGGTGGACCAAGAAAGACATCAAAGCGTCAAGACAAACAACTTAAGGCCATTTGTCTTGAAAACTGAAAAAGTACAACTAAACAGATGAAGCATAACTGGGAGGAAGCTGGAGCCAATGTGTGTGACTGAACCGTAAGAAATGGCCTAAAGGAAATGGTATTTCAATACAGGAAAGCTAAAAGAAAACCATCATTGACACCTAAACAAAAAAGGACAAGACTGCAATGGGCTAAGGAGAGGCAATCATGGACTGTGGATGACTGGATGAAAGTTATCTTCAGTGATGAGTCAAGAATCTGCATTGGACAAGGTGATGATGCTGGAACTTTTGTTTGGTGCCGTTCCAGTGAGATTTATGAAGAGGACTGCCTGAAGAAGACAACCACATTTCCACAGTCCTTGATGAGACGGGACTGCATGTCAGGCAAAGGCACTGGGGAGATGACTGTGGTTAATTCTTCTATCAATGCACAAGTTTACATTGACATTTTGGACAGTTTTCTCATCCCTTCAATTGAACAGATGTTTGGAGGTGATGAAATAATTTTCCAAGATGACAATGSATRGTYCCATAGGGCAAAAACAGTGAAGGCATTCCTTGGAGAAAGACACGTTCAGTCGATGTCATGGCCTGCAAATAGTCCAGATCTCAACCCAATTGAAAACCTGTGGTGGAAATAAAAAAATGGTCCACAAGAAGGCTCTGACCTGCAAAGCTGATCTGGCAYCTGCTATCAAAGAGAGTTGGCACCAAATTGATGAAGATTACTGTTTGTCACTCATCAAGTCCATGCCTCCAAACCGTTATAAAAGCCAAAGGTGGTGCAACTAAATACTAGTGATGTATTTTGAATGGTCTTTTGTTTATCTGTTTTTCATGATTCCATACTTTTTTCCTCAGAATTGAGTGATTCCATTTTTTTTCCCCTGTGCGTGGTCAATAAAAGTTATATTCACTGACTTCCACAATGTTTTCTCTTCATTTCTTTGAGTGTTCCTGGAAGCCAACAAGTTGCACTTTGGAGTGATCTTATTATTGTATCATGTTTTTGATCTGAGTTTGTTTTACAGAATGAAATGTCTGAATGAGTGCTCATCCAAGACTGGTGATTACATACTTTTTGCCAAGGGTTGTAGTCCCAACCAGTGGTTTTTGCTCCCCTGCCTGGCTGCTTCAGGACACTACATGATTTCTCAAACATGCATGAATGAGTCAAAGTAAGACTTTGGGCATGCTTTTGATGAGAGGATAACATTATTACATGATATAATGCTCAAAAAAGTTGATTTTACATGATATAGCCCCTTTAAATATTATTATTAGTGACTGCTAATGATGTTTACAAACTCATTCATAAAGCATTAAATTGGACCTTCATCAGTAAGTGGTACCAAATATCTGCAGGCATCAGTTTAGTTAAAAAGGGTGACACATCGGTCTGTTGGAAACAAATGCAGCTTCATCTGTTTTATACATACAATAATAATTAGTGTACAACAAAACCTGGTTTATTTGATTATTTCTCCATCTACTTTGAAAAGTGAAACATTCAGGAGGCATTTAAACTGGGCCCAATGCAAACAAAGTCAGTAAATGGATGCACTAAGCAAACAGAGATTAATCATTAAACCAAAGTTAGTGTTGAGAACATCTTCTGCCTTAACATGTAGAGTTTGACTCTGCTTTATAACAACAGATGAGATCATTCGTTTTTGGCAAACAAGTAGACCAGATTGGACCGGATTGGTCCTACCCCGAAATCCTTCAAGAGCGAGTGCATTTTCCCCAGAGGAGCGCCGACGTCAATCAGAAGTAAGGATGCTTCAATGAATCCAGAAATCCGTCCTTTTCTCCTGCTGCTGACAGAAGACAAGAGAACACTGGTCAATCTTAATTTGTATTGAATTACAGTGAGCTGCTTCAGAGCTGATTCACTATCCAAACTGGCAGAGAAAACATCTTTAATGGGGATTTGTAACATTTCCATCTAACAAAAAAAAAGTGTGTGAATGCCATCTGCCTTTTTATTATTTTAAACATGTTTGACCAACTCCCAGAAATCTCTATTCATGAAACAGAATTAGTCAAGTGTCACTGTTACAACATTCCCGCACAATACATTTAGTTATTCATATACAGCAAACATCAGGGCCCGTATTTATCAAACTTCTTAGGGTGGAATTTTAGACTTAAGTGATAAACATTTCTTAGATTTGCTCCTACTCAGTTTTAAGTGTAAGTGCCAGTTATTAAAATTCTTAAATCTAAGGATCCTGAAAAGTTAAGACTGCTCCAGAGGTGGACTGAGAAGACAGAGGTCACACAGAGAGCACAGCTGTCCTCCTCCCCACCTCAGTTATAAGGTGCAGAAAACAGGTTTTGTCAAAAATACAAAAGAAACAAAAAGTAAATAAATAAAAAACTGTGCATAATGTTGGACTAAAAGGTGGATTTTTGTGTGTGGCTTTTGGAGAAAATATTAAATATATTCAGCTGGTGAGTGCATGCAATTCCCCCTCCCAAATAAATAAATAAAAATTACGGTGGGATTGAACGTTTCTTTTATTATATCACACGATACAATGATGGAGCGTGCGGGGTGTCCTCTCAGACCAAGCTGTTAATGACTGTGAATGCTGGAGAACGAACACAGTAAGATTGTCTAAAAAGCGTTTTTTTAATAAACCAAAGAAAATATTTAATTAGGCCCACATTTTAGCGCGTTTTCAGATATGAATTTATTTTTAACAAACGCTGATAACTTGTCAAAATAATTGCACTTTCAACATTTTTTTAAATAATTTATTTACTTTTTCTTTATTTTTTTCCCTTTCTTCTTTTTTAAATATGGACCAGGGTTCTGTCTTCAATAAAGTTTGAATTGAACTGAACAAATATAGCCTTTGTGAAATTATATTTGTTGGTGAGGTGTTTACTTAGTAAATTTGTGTACAAAACATATGTGGAACTTATATTTATACTTCCTGTGCTCCATACCCACCACTAGTGATGGGTCGATGAGGCATTGTGTCGTTTGACATTTTACCAAACTGTACCGATACGTGTTGATACTGTGTCACTGAATACTGACATCTGCTGGACCTTAAAATTCACTACAGCCAACCTAGTTGACAAACTCAACTGACACTGATTTGATGACCTATTTAAAAAATGAATAATATAATTTAAGACATTGTGCTTCATATTGTATTATTTCATAGCTTCATTTACATTTAAAATATCTTTGATATTTTTAGATACAGTCTATAAATAATGTGAACATGTTTCATAACATGAAAATCTAAGTGAGCATGTTGTGAATGAGGATGCTTGTTATTTTTTTACAAACTTATTAACGTTTTTCCAATATTTTGAGTTTATATACACTCCTGATCAAACTCTTAAGACCAGTCAAAAAAGTGCAAGAATTTGCATTTTGCACTGTTGGATCTTAAGAAGGTTCTAAGTAGAGCTTCACAATGTTAAAAGAAGAAATCAGTGCAAGAGACAAGAACTTTTTGAGCAGGGAATTTTCTGAAAACTGCATTTACACTCAAACATGATTTTTTTCAGTTGATCAAAAGTTTAAGACCATAGCTCAAAAAACCTGAAACCCCCCCAAAACGGAAATCAAAGTGTCAAAAAAAGGACTCAGTAATGAGTAGCTCCACCATTCTTGTTGATGACTTCAAACAATGGTTTAGTTATGCTTGATGCCAGTGTTTCCAGGAGGCTAGTGGGAACGTTGCTCCAAGTGTTGAAGATGGCTTCACGAAGGGCATCCACTGTCTGGAACTGATGTCCYTTTTTGTAAACTTCCCTTGCCATCCATCCCCAAATGTTCTCAGTTGGGTTTAGATCCGGGGAACATGCAGGATGGTCCAAAAGAGTGATGTTATTCTCTTGGAAGAACTCCTTTGTCAGGCGGGCATTGTGAACTGCAGCATTGTCCTGTTGAAAAACCCAATCATTACCACACAGATGAGGGCGCTCAGTCATGAGGGATGCCCGCTGCAACATCTCCACATAGCCAGCTGCTGTTTGACGCCCCTGCACAACCTGAAGCTCCATTGTTCCTTTGAAGGAAAACACACCCCAAATCATGATGGCGCCCCCCACCACTGTGCCGTGTAGAAAACATCTCAGGTGGGATCTCCTTGTCATGCCAGTAARGTTGGAAGCCATCAGGACCATCAAGGTTAAATTTTTTCTCATCAGAGAAGACAACTTTCTTCCACCTTTCAATGACCCATGTTTGGTGCACCCTTGCAAAGTCCAAATGGCCAATTTTGTGGCGCTGAAGAAGACGTGGCCTTTGAAGACGTTTTTTGTTTCTGAAGCCCTTCTCTCACAGATGTCGTCTGATGGTTACTGGGCTGCAGTCAGCACCAGTAATGGCCTTAATTTGGGTAGAGGATCGTCCCGTGTCTTGACGGTCAGCCAATCGGATCCTGCGGCTCAGAGCTGGTGAAATTTTTTTGGGTCTACACTTGACTTTTTTGTTCCATAACCCTCAGGATCATTTAAAAAATGCAAAATGACTGTCTTACTGCGTCCAACTTCAGCAGCGATGGCACGTTGTGAGACGCTTTGCTCATGCAGCTCAACAATCCTACCARGTTCAAAGTCAGTGAGCTTTATTGCTCACTGACATCAAACAACCAAACAACCAATCTTTCAACCCACTCTACTGCTAGAAATAGGTTCTCTACTCCTCCTGTTTCTTTCTGCACGTGATGTTTTTAGTGATACGCGCATCGACACGGGGTGTCATTCTATTAGCTCAACGCATGCTTCGACACATCGGTGTTGCTCGACCCATCACTACCGACCACTATTTGGTGCTGCACGTGCTGCTCAAGTCTGCATTGGATGCAGACTCGCTGTGGAGGGCTTAATAAGCCACTCGCCCTCCGTAACTGGTTTCAGATGTGACTTAATATGGCCAACCCTCCATGGGAACACGCAAACTTAGTATGTAGGGAGTAGGCAGAGTGTGTAGTCACCAGTTGGGAAGGACCCAATCTCAAGCTCTGAGACATAAAAATAATTAAAGCTGCTGAGTTTTTGATTTAAAAAAAATCTGAGATTTTTGTCCGTATTCATGATGCAAATGAGGCCATTTTATCTAATTTACAATCAGTACAAGGTGTCAACATTAGTGTGCTGAAAGTGAACTTTTAAGATTTTCAGTTTTATCTTGCTATTTCTCCGACAATATTCTTGAACATGAAATCCGAGGCAGTGATTGGTCCATGCTGGGGTTTTTTCTAACGTCATGGATCAGCTTTGCGGCACAGCCAGGTGTCGCAAATCAGCTCTAAGACGACACTTAAGAATTACTCCTACACTTCGCTTAAAGAATCATTTCCTGAATCCCAAACCACAGAGCGAACTCCGCCCCCTCATTTGCATACTGGACCATGAAATATAATGCCATGAAATAGTAAAATACCCTGAAATAGTAAAACGGCATGAAATAAGAAGGGAGTTCAAAATAAAAGTCCCTGAAATATGTAAAGTAGCTTTA